CCTCCACAGTGGTCTTGTACTTCTTCTTTGTCTGCTCGTCCATGAACGGGTTGCCCATGTCCACGTTGTACTGGACTCCATAGTTCAGCACAATTTCTTGGTTGGCCGCAATGCCGGCGCCTGTGCGAGTATTTGCTCGCAAGACGAGCTTGTACAGGTCGGAATCCGCACCATCGAGCTGCATCTCCAGCACAGCATTGGGAGCCTTCCGAGAACCTGGGTGTCTTGATTAAAACCTTATGAACAGTATATTTGTCTTGTGCACACTCCCTTCTTGCTGAATCGACACTTCCCTGATAGTGATTCGCAAACCGAGCGATGCCCACGAGGAGGCCAAACATGTCTGTTGGGTTCCCGTTCACCAAGACATTCCGGATCACCACCACCTGGAATGACAATCTGTCTTCACTATGAAATTGCAATCTCTGTGTCATGTTCACAACACATGTCTAGCCCATTTAATCTCGGCACCGAGTCTGCAAAGTACTCATTCGGAGATGCTCGCAGGCAATTGGTGAGGGCAGCCTTGCTCGTGAAAAGCAAGGCCGTGGCATCGCAGATTTTCTCAGCCTCCCTCTTGGAAGTCCTCGTCACCAAGCCCTGGCCTCGCTCACCGAAGTTCTGCAGCGCCAGGCCAAAGCTGTGAAGCTCTTTCTCCCAAAGGGTCACAGCCATGCTACGCAGTTCTCCAGGCCAGGTATCCACGGTCAAAAAAGCCTTGGCATAATCAGGGCCACGACGCTCAACCTGCAGCAGCTCAAGTGTCTGCTTCTCCGATGCCAGCTTCGGGCCCTCGATCATCTGCAAATCGGCCGCTTTCAAGGCTCGCTTCTTGGAGTTTTTTCGTGCCGTGCCTTCGTAGGAGCATTTCCAGAACCTCAGCATGATCTCGCGGCCGTGTGCGATGCTGTGCTTGCGAGGCCTGTCTAGGAGCCAAATGACGTCTGAAGCCTGTGCACGAGCGGCCAGCACTGGCCCTGGATGGGCAGACGACGTCATCACAACCACAAGACTGCACTGGCCGAGGATCTGCGTGAAGACGCCGGCATAAAACGACATGGGCCGAGTAAACGGAAACAAATCGATGATGTAGTCCCTCTTCTGCTCGGTCGCAGGGACTGGCTCCTCCTCGTCGTCATTGACCAGGCTGCCGGCTTCGCCAATCATCATGTCGAACTGCTCCAGCTCTTTGTCCTCATCTGGGATTTCACAAGACACCGCTGCCCCGGGACCTGGGTTGACTGTGGCCAACTCATCCTGCGACCTCAAAGGACAATCCGAGGCCATGCATCGGAGCCTTGTGCATTCAAGGCCTTTCGCCCTAGACCTCAACAAAGGCAAGGATGTGGGCACTGCAACCGTCTTGTCCTCCTTGTGGTGCAAAACCAGCAGGAAGCCGGCCTTCTTGTTTTGCACTTGTCGCTCGCCTCCAGTTAGCTGGACCACGTAGGGCGAGAACCCGGGCAGCATGGACACTGCTCGCGCCATACTGCTGGACAGCAGGTCTGCCCTTTGGGCGCAGATGATGCCCACTGAGGCCTTTGTCAGGCTTGCCTTCATCACGACCTTCGCCACCAGGTCGATGTAGCTGTTTGTCACACCTTTCTGGCTTGTGGGTGCATCAATCAAGAAGACCACTCGACCCGATGCTGGAGCCTTCGCATCAACCTTCCGGACCAGGTCGTCCTGGTCGTAGACAATGTGCACGCGGTCGGACTCATCCGCCGCATGCTTTTTCGCTGAGATCTCGATGGGATCCTCAGCCACGGCCATGCCATCGTCCATGTCCACAAGCATCATTTCGCCAAGCTCATCTGCTGGCCCACTTGCAGTGGCTGCTGTCGCTGGGTCGTCCTTGGAGCTCCCAGTTCCCTCCTGCTTTTGGGGCTGGGATTCGGACCCGCCCGCTTTCAATTTTCTCAATTCCACCCAGAGGGCATGACACTCTTGAATGCCGGGGGACTCGCTGGAGGTTCCATGAAGCTTGATCTGGTTCTTCATGCACGTCACTATCTTCGATAAACCCGATTTTGTCTGCAAGGCTGACACCACTCTTTCGAAGGCAGGATGGTCTGTCGCCGTCTTGCCAAAGGTGGCTCGTGTTTGCGATGCCCACAATTCCAGAGTCTTCAAAGGTGCACATATCTGCGACTGAAACAAATCTGCGTTCATGGCCACAGATTTCTCCTTCAGATCTCGCACAAGGAGCTCCAGGGCAATCACGGCATACCCCCATGTCAGCCTTTGCCGGGCCCGGACGCCATCGCCCATCAACCAGGCATTGTCGAAAACGTAGTATTGAGGAACCAGTCGCCCTGCAGGTTTTGGGACTTATGATGCAACATTAGTGGCACAGATCAGTGTTTGAAAATAGTATGCTGGACATGCGATTTCAAGACCTTCAGGCTGCGACAGCCACTGGCGGATTTCCGAAGGCAAGGACTTGTGACATCTCGTCCACTTCGAGATGGTGGCCTTTCGCCCGGCACCTGCCAAACAAAAATGACAGATGCTCAAGCCCCCTACCCGGCCATACCGAGAGACTGCATGAACCTCGACCCGGCCTAAGTTCGACAGCAAGGTCTGCAGAACCTCCTTATAGGGATCCTTGTGGCCGCTGGGGATTTTGGCAAAGACCCGGCCCACGATCTGGAGTTTCGTGTGAATGCTGGTGGCGGCAAACTTGTTGTTGTCTTCATCATGAAGGGCTGCATTCGTTTGCACCCGCAATTCGAAGATTTCTTCCTCCTGCAAAATCTCAATCCAATTATTTGGACATGACACATGGCACAGTGTCAGTCACATGCCTAGACATAAACATTCTTGCTCAAACCAGCCTGGTCGGAAGGATACTCAACGATATCGCACAGAATGCCGTTCTTGAGCACATCCAACAGCATGGCATTGAAGACTATGCCATCTGCTTCTGTAGCCTCCGAGGTCGTGGAGGCTGTGGCAGTGGACGGCTCCCCCAGCTTCACCCACTCTTCATGCACTTGCCTCAGTGCAGCCACACTGCTGTAGCCATCATCCAGAAGCCACTTCAGGGCATCGTCCTGCATGGGTTTCCCTTTGCACTGCAAGACGCGGATGTTTCTGAACAAAGCCTGGCCATATCGGCCCTCCAGAAACTCCTTCGCGAGTTCCCTGATCCGCACTGAATCAGGCTCCCGCCAACCACTGCGATGCTCATCCAAAGAGATCTCTGTGATTTTGATACGTTGAGAAGGCGACACCACTTCAGCACCCCGCACCGGGGTGACGAGGGCTTTCTTTCCACCGCTCATGCTACAGCAACTACCAGGATTC